CCAAGGGCGTTGGAAAGGATTTTAATTGTCTAAAAATATGATAGGTTTAATTGGCAAGAAAAACTGCATCAGATGAGTTACTGCATAATGGATTTGGTAGTGGGCCGATTTGCGGTCTTATCGTCCCTCGTACTTTAAAAACTAATGAAAAAATGCATGACAGCGGACAGAAAAACTATTATTTCGCCATGGCTTTTTATGTGAAAAGATTTGAAGTGCAGCTAAAAGATAGAGCGAAATCAGAGCTACAAAATGGCTAATTTAGTTTTTCTTACTTTCAAAACGTTAACACAAGAAATCATTTTTGAATATGGAAAGTTTTCATTTTTTTCGACTTTCATCTATTTGGCTGTGTTGTCTCGATTGAAGTTCTGAAATTATAGTTTAGGTATGAGTTTGTAGAGAATTTTAAGGCGCATTTTCGGGGAAAACAATTAGGTCGCTAGCTCAAGAACTGAAAGAGATAACTGCAAATTAAGATTGCGCCATTATATCTGGGACATCCGTTATATCAAGCTTGACTTTCTTCTCTAATTGTTTGTATTTCTTCAAAGACAATCATCCATCGTTTTCGAAAGATTATGCATTTATCAAGCCAGCAACAACATATTTAAAGTATAAAAGAGAACATTTCTTTGATAGTTCATTCTACTGTCATACTGTTTAGGCTTTCTTAGAGCAAAATCTTTTTCGTAATAGAAGAAAAATACAATAGTGTCATGCTTTTTATGATGAAAGTAAAGGTTTATTGGAAAAGTAACTGACAGAGGCAACCGTGACCACATTAGAATTTTAATATTACTAATATCCAGGAGAAATTTTTCGCTGTTAAGTTAGTCATTAGTTTGATTCGGAGACAGACTTCTTGTTTGTTGAAGGTGCCAGTTTGCGTTTACTCACTGATAATATATTTGACCGATGCATCCATATCATATATAGTTTTCGCGGAAAATATGTATGGCAATTGACATTTTAAAAATTGTATTTGTACTGGTGATATTTGTTGATCTGCAGATCAACAAATAGCATCAAACAAACTTCTTCTGTTTTATTATAGTTTTTAGTACTGAACTTCTTCCCGTATAAATCTTTACTTTCATCATGAAAAACATGATACTTGTCTTTTTTATTATTATCATCCGGATCAACTTCACCGCCTCTGCCATCTCCAGAACATACACTGTTATCAAAATTATTACCTAAAGGAAAACATTAAATTTAATAAAATGTGTTTTGTTGTGAAAAAAAGATTCAGATCATAATGAAATGATAGGTAGAATTCAGTTACTTTTTAGTGCCATGTATTGTATTTTCCTTGTATTAGGAAAACAATTCTGTTCTAAGAAAGCCTAAACAGTATGACAGTAGAATGAACTATAAAAAAAATGTTCTCTTTTAGGCTTTAAATGTGTTGTTGGTAGCTTGATAAATGAATAATCTTTCGAAACACGACGGTTGATTGTCTTTGAAGAAGTACAAACAATTAGAGAAGAAAGTCAAGCTTGATATATCGAGTACTTTGACTGGAAAAAGTTACCCCTCGAAATTTTCTTCATAATTTCACTGTTTCTCATTCGTTCTTCACCGAAAAAACTCGATACTAGCCAAGATGGTAGAACCAACTATTCTCTGCAGCTATATATAGCAAAGCTGGTATAAAATAAAATATTCTGTAGTAGCTGCGGAATATAAATTTTAAACGTTCTCTAAGAACATTCGGCTAAATTTGGGGACAAACAAAACAAAACTCATTCGCATTTAAATAAAAAGGCACTTTTTCTTGTAATAGGTGAGTTTCATGAAAAATATTTTTTTCATATCTCATCCCCAACAAAACATTTTTTAAAACCTTCTAGAAGGTTTGGATTTTGGGCCATGGTGGTTCTAAAGGCGTTCCCAGTTTTGTCACATTGCTTAGAAGACCCGGTTTTCTGGAAAATAATCAAAGCTTTTCTTAATGAGTCATGCTTGTAACCCGCGCATTTCCGATTAAAATAAGACCGTAAATAAAATCATTTCACCTGATTTGGTATCTCATAGGATCTTTGACAAACTATGTCATAACTCAAAAACTTGAAATACAAAGAGTCTGATTTCTTTTCATGGATAAATAGTCCATTTTACTGTTGCATGATTTAAAACACTGGAAAAGGCACCTCTCATCTTATTTTAAACATATGTTTAAAATGCAGTGAAAGACATGTTTTCCTTTCAGAACAAAATACCATAGGACTTTGCGTAGGAAGCCTGAACGTTGTATGTGTTAAAGTATCCGGGAATATTTCTTGCCTTTATGCAGGATTTCTTCCACGCTATATGAATTATGCAAAGTTCGGTCGGGGCTGGCAGAATAAAAATCCTGTGTAAAGGTAAGAAATATTGTCACATATTCTAGCACACACAATCCGCAGGGCTTCTGCGGAAAAACCGACGGGATCCGGCGTGAATTTTAATTGTTTTTTTTCTATGTTTGATTAGAAAAGAAAACGCGTGAAGAGCTTGATATTCGTACCTGGAGCGTTCTTTCTATTTTCTGCTTTCTTTCTATTTATTCTCGTGGGCTCACCACAACAAAGAACATCATTTCGATTCATACGAAAACAAATCACTTTTTTTGACGTAGTCTATCGAGAGTTTGTCAAAACATCACTGAGTTCGGATGGTACGATGGTAACGCCTGACGAACAATCTCGACCGCACGCTCGGCATGCTCTATGGCCTTATCATATCGCTTGAGACCCTCGAACACTCTTGCCATGTTGTGGTAAGTATGAGCCAAATCGGGATGATTCGGAGGAAGAGCTTTTTCACGAATTTCGAGTGTTTTCTGGTGGAATGAGAGTGACGTTGAATAGTCTTTCATCTCTCGATCTACCTCATCTATATTACTGTAGGTGATAGCCAAATGCGATCGGTCACAAGGAACCAGTTCTTGAATATCAAGTGCTTTTTGATGAAACGTGAGCGCTGCCGAATACATTCCCGTTAACCGGTGCGCATCACCGATGTTGGAATACGTGATACCCAAGTACGGATGTTTTGCAGGTACCCTTTTACTGTCATTTTCAAGTGTCTTTTGAAAGTATGACAGTGCAGCGGAATAGTCTTTCATCGAAAGATACACTTTGCCTAGATGGCTATATGTAGAAGCAAAATCTGGATGGTCGTTTGGTAGAGATGTTTCTTGAATTTTGAGACATTTTGTTAGTGCTGAGAGTGCATTCGAATACTCTCCCATCTCTCGATGAACGGTACCAATGCCAATAAACGTATGAGCCAAATAGGGATGATTCGGAGGGAGAGATTTTTGTCGGATTTAAAGTGTCTTTTGATAGAACGAGAGTGCAGTCGAGTACTCTCCCATCGAATCATGCACGCTGCCGATCTTGCTGTAGGTAGTAGCCAAATCGGGACGATTCGGAGGGAGAGATTTTTGTTGGATTTCAAGTGTCTTTTGATAGAACGAGAGTGCAGTCGAGTACTCTCCCATCGAATCATGCACGCTGCCGATCTTGCTGTAGGTAGTAGCCAAATCGGGATGATTCGGAGGGAGAGACTTTTGTTGGATTTCAAGTGTCTTTTGATAGAACGAGAGTGCAGTCGAGTACTCTCCCATCGAATCATGCACGCTGCCGATCTTGCTGTAGGTAGTAGCCAAATCGGGATGATTCGGAGGGAGAGATTTTTGTTGGATTTCAAGTGTCTTTTGATAGAACGAGAGTGCA